ACTAGGGACCTGGCCTGCAACCGAGGCATTTGCCCTGACTGGGAATCGAACTGGTGACCCTTTACTTCACAGGCCAGAACTCAATCCACTGAGTTACACCAGCCAGGGCTAAAAGTTTTATTTCTGAGAAATAATTTTTTATATATAGGTTTAGGTTAAATGGAATTCTTCATGTTACTATAGCATCTGTATGTTTAAACGTTGCTCTTAATTTTGCCCAAATCCCCAAATGTTTTCTGCAAATGTTTTCAGTACTTCAAATGTTTTCTCTTGGCCCTGGCTGGTGTAGCTCAGTGGATTGAGCGCGGGCCTGAGAACCACACAGTCATGGTTCAATTCCCAGTCAGGGCACATGCCTGGGTTGCAGGCCGGTTCCCTGCAGGCCATTTCCCAGCAGGGGACGCACGAAAGGCAATCATACATTGATGTTTCTCTCCCTCTCTCCTTCCCTTCCCCTCTAAAGATAAATAAATAAAATGTTTAAAAAAAATGTTTTCTCTTAACTGTGCTATTTTTCCTATGGAAGTTATGGGAAATAAGTAATATTGATATTCTGGACTCTGTTAGAATATTTATTGATATTTACATTTGTACTTGAATCAGCTTAGATGTCATTTTGCTAGTTTTCACGTTAGTTATTTTAGAGTCTCCCAAAGGCCTAGCGTAACTCTGTGGAATAGGAAAACATATTTTAGTTTGTCATTCTGTTCTTGCCTTGCCCCTGTTTTCTTCAGAATCCTCCTGATACCACAGCTTTAAATCCTTTCTGATTCTGAAGGACTGCTCTGTTACACTTTCCTCACTTGCAACTGTTCTCATTCACCTACTACCTCTCCTTTGGTTTCTCATTGCCTTCAAAATTCCCCAAGTCTTGATCAGATTAAAAACATCTTTGTTTGGTTGTGCTGGCCATTCCAACCGGTGTGAAGGGGTATGTCACTGTGGTCTTAACTTGCATCTCTTGATGGCTAGTGAAGTTGAGCATCCCCTCATATGTCTCTGGGCCCTCTGTATGTCCTCCTCGGAGAAGTGTCTTTTCAGGTCCTTTGCCCATTTCTTCATTAGGTTGTTTGTCTTCCTGGAGTGGGGTCATGTGAGTTCTTTATATATTTTGGAGATCAAATCCTTCTCCAAGGTTTCATTGTCAAATATATTTTCCCATATGTTTGGTTCCCCTTTCATTTTGCTGATGTTTTCTTTAGCCACGCAGAAGCTTTTTATTTTGGTGAAGTCCTATTTGTTTATTCTTTCCTTTATGTTCCTTGTTCTGGGGGACACATTGGTGAAAATATTGCTGCATGAAATACCTGAGATTTTCCTCCCTATGTTCTCTAGGACTTTTATGGTGTCGTGACTTTTATTTAAGTCTTTTATCCACCTTGAGTTTATTTTTGTGTATGGTATAAATTGGTGATTGATTTTCTTTTTTTTTTTTTGCATATAGCTGTCCAGATCTCCCAACACCATTTGTTGGAGAGGCTATGTTTATTCCACTTTATGCTTCTGCTCCCTTTGTTGAATATTAATTGACCACAGAGATTTGGGTTTATTTCTGGGCTCTCTATTCTGTTCCATTGGTCTATGTGTCTCTTCTTATGCCAGTACCAGACTGTTTTGATTACTGTGGACTTGTAATATAGTTTGATGTCAGGCATTATGATCCCTCCTACTTTGTTCTTCTTTCTCAAAATTGCTGCAGCTATTCAGGGTTATTTATGGTTACACATAAATTTTTCAAATGTTTGTTATAACCAAATCAACAAACAAGTGCTGATGTGGTTGTGGAGAAAAGGGAACCCTAGTACACTGTTGGTGGGAATGCAGACTGGTACAGTCACTGTGAAAAACAGTATGGAATTTCCTCAGAAAACTAAAAATGAAACTGCCTTTTGACCTGGTAATTCCACTGCTGGGATTATACCCTAAGAACCCTGAAACACCAGTTCAAAAGAACCTATGCACCCCAATGTTCATAGTAGAGCAATTTACAATAACCCAGTGTTGGAAGCAATCTAAATGCCCACCTGTAAGTGAATGGATCAAAAAACCCTGGTACATTTACACAATGGAATACTACATGGCAGAAAGGAAGAAGGAGATCCTACCCTTTGCAACAGCATGGATAGATCTGGAGAACATTATGCTAAGTGAAATAAGCCAGGCAATGTGATGCAGGCTCTGGCCAGCAGTGTCCGTAGTGTTGTGGATGAGATGAAATAAATTCACATGGACTACCAAAGTCCTGCGAAGGATGGCACAGCCACTCTAAGAGGAGAGCACCTTGGCCACTGTTTCAAGGGGAGAGTGCCTCGACCCTTGCCTTGACAAGTTTTTATTGGCTTTCTAATAGCATATATGAAAGAAGGTTCTCATTCATTATGCTCAGGTTTGCTTTAAGTGATTACTTTTACAGATAACAAAGGAAAGGATGTTACTGATTACTTCTTACAGATTAACAAGGAAAAATGTTGCAAATGCAAGGGAACATAAGAGTAATTGGTCTGGTTATCCTTCCTTGAGAGAATTAGCACAGACTTCAGGAAGTTACTTTAAAGATATGCAGTAAGTATTTCTGCTTCAACTCAGGGTGAGAAAATTTTAGCAAGAGCAAACCTCAAAGAAGGCTAGGTATAATGCAGGCCTGGTTTCCCACAGGAAAACTGATCCATGGGTTTGGCTTCCTGTAAGCACCTATTAGCTTTCCAATAGAGCTGGGAAACATTTGCCATTCCACAAGGATAGGTTCCCTATAGTTATGAAAGACAAATACCAGGTGATCTCACCAGTAAGTGGAACCTGATCAACAAAACAGTGAAATATAAACAGTGACATTGAAATAAAGAATAGACTGATGGTACCAGAGGAGAGGAGGGACAAGATAATGGGGAAAATAAGGGAAGGGTCATCATGAAACATGTATAAAGGACACATGGACAAAGCCAAAGGGGGGTAGGATCCAGGGTGGGAGTGGGGAATGGGTGGAGTGGAGTGGGGTGGGCAGGGAGTGGTAGGGAGAAAATGGAGATAACTGTACTTGAAAAACAATTTTAAAAAAAGGAAAAAAAAACATTCTACAGAACTTTCTTATATAGGAAATAAAAAATCTTTGTTTGACCCAAAAACAGTTTACATTGTATCTCTTTTTTTCAAAATCTGAAACTTCTAGATAGAATAATCTATAAACTCAGACATCCTTTACTCATAACATTTCCTTACTGATATATATTTTTTAATTTTTATAAAAGATTTTACTTATTTATTTTTAGAGAGAGGGAAAGGAAAAGGAAAGGGAGAAAGATATCAATGTATGGTTGCCTTTCATCGCCCCCTACTGGGGACCTGGCCCATAACCCAGGCATGTGTCCTGACTAAGAATAGAATTGGTGACCCTTTGGTCCACAGGCAGGCTGGTGCTCAATCCACTGAGCTACACCAGCCAGGGCCCCTTTTTGATCTTTTTTAACGTTAATTTTGCATATGTAACTGAACTCAAATTGTTTTTCTTTTCAGTTTTGATGTTTTTGTTTCAATTTTCACTTTCTTAAGTTTGTTCCATGACATCTGGAATAATATACACTCATGGTTCTCTTCCCACCCTTATGAGAGAAACTTCTACCATGTTTCTTTTTGCATTATTAAATAAAAACTGGTATTTGGCATTTTTCAAAGGTTAATCATTTGACCTATGCCTTTTTATAAATTATCTCTCCTAAAGAATTCAATCTTTACCATGGTTTTATACAACTTTTAACTATTTCTACGCTGTCAATGTTCCCCTGTTAAATTAAATTATTTGGGATGTAATTGTTATTTGAAAAACCTGAGAGTATCAAGTTAAAACAAATCTATTTGTAACAATGAGAGAATTCAGTGAGGTGAATGCTAACAAGAATGATGGATCATTTCAGTGGCAACAACAGACTTTTAGTGAGAAATATGAAGCCAAATGTCAGCCTCACCTCTGTAGCAAAGAAATTCTATATTGATCAAAGATTTGGATGTAAAATTGAATCCAAGTTTTCTAAAAGCAAATCTGTATACATTTATTTGTGACTTTAGTGATGAAAATCAAAATCAGAAAAACTATAAGATATATGACAAAGTACTAATTGCTTTGCAAGGAGTTATGAAAACCAATGTTACACAAATGAAGCAAATAAGAGGCACCAAGTCTATAAATAGGTAATACACTGAAAGAGAAATAGAAACACAAATAAATGTATATACAAATGAAAAAATGTTCAATCTCACTTCTAATTAAAGAAACAATATACTTAGTTTTACCTGTCATAAGTAATATCTTGTTTTAGCAAAGGTGTCTGTGCAATGGTGGAGCATTTTGGTGGGTTTGTGGAAGTGTAGACTACTAGCAATTTGGGGAGGTAATTTATCTGTTTCTATACAAATTTCAAATGTACACCTTTTGATGCAACAGTTCTAATTTTAGGTGTTTAACTATAAATATGTATGTATACATGTATAAAGATAATCTACAAAGGTTGAAATAGAAAATAAAACTATAAATTTTCATCAAAAGAGCCTCGGTCATATTAAATCTATTATAACTACATACTAATTTTAATCTAAATATAGTCCTATATTTTCTAGTATAGAAAGAACTAAAATATGTTATTGAATTAAAAAATATATAGGATTATGTATTAGTTTGAGGAACATAAAATTAGTGATCAACAATTAGCAATTTTGTTCAGTTCAAGTTGATATACCCCTACGTGTAACAAAATGTTAAGATAACATAAGAAATTCTTAAAGTGACTATTTGGAAGATAAAATAGATGTAGGTTTGAGATAGGAAGGATTTTACTTGTGATTTATTTGTTAATTATTCTAATTATATAGACTTTTTACTTTTATTTTAACAAATCAATATGGATTGTTTGGATGATTAAAATTAAAAGATGAGTTTATGGATAGTTCTGTTCTTTTCTTTTAGGACTTTATGTATATAGGTTTTAATATTATTTTTAATTTTTTATTTTCCATGTCCCGGTGCTTGAGGATAGAACCAATGGACTGGAAACCATCAGCACCGAAGATATGCAGCCGAGAGGGCTGGAGACCTTTCCCTCTCCCTTAGTACATTGCGGGGATCGGGACCGCATGCCCGACCCACGCCAAGTAGAAGAGGGTTTCATATTATTTTTAAAATATTTTTTCTTACTAAAAAACTGCCCCAACCACTGGAATTACAAACCAGATGTTCTGTAGAAAATTCACTTTGAATACTGACTTTTCTACCAAAAAGATTTGTTAACAACCTTTATTAGTGCATTATCATTTTATTGTTATTAAATATATTTAAGGAGTATACATTTAAATGGATTCACCTTTAGCATAAATATTTTCTGGGTTGTTTACATTTAAGCTCTTTAGTTATCTGATTTCCTGATTTATTAGGAAAAATAACTGTTAAAAAGCAAATATTACAGATTGATTTGCAATGACATACTCATATAGAAGAATTTTTCTATACATGGTGTTTTTAATAGGGATAAACACCATTCTCTAATATGAGGAGAATTCATTATTTATGATAGGGAAGTATGTTCACATCATAAACTTTTCTTATCAGACTGCATGGTTAGCCAGAAACTCAATTATAAATACCTGAAAGTTAACACGACTACCCTACTTAACAAATAATTTCTATTGAAATATATGTCTGTCATTGCTGTTATCTAGTTCCATGTGCATTCAAATCAATAATGTTGTATGCTTTGACTAAAAATAGTTTAGGGCAGAATTAATAGTCCAAGGCAACAGAATATTTTTATAAATATATTTTGATTGGTAGTTAGCCTTTTTAAATCTAGAGTTATACTTAACAAAGCATGTAGAAGAGACTTCACTAATCTTTGAAACTTCCGATTCTCAAAAAGAGGTTCTATATCAGATGAATCCCATCTGTTATGGACTTAATTATGTTCCGCAAAATTCATATGTAGAAACCCTAACCCCAATGTGACTGTCATGGAAGATAGGGTTTTAATGGAAGTAATGTAGGTTAATTGAGGTCAAAGGATGGGACTCTACTACAATAGGACTTGTACACTGATAAGAAAAAGAGACACAGGAGATCTCTCTATCCCTGAACACGGGAAGGAAAGGCCCTGGGAGGACACAGTGAGAAGGCAGCTGTCTGCAAACTAGGAAGAGAAGTCTCACCAGAAACCACCCATGCTGGCACCTTAATCTTAAACTTCAAGGTATTCACAATTGTGAGAATATAAGTGTCTGTTGTCTAAGTCAGTCAGTATGTGGTACTTTGTCATGACAGCCTAAACAGACTTAAACAATTCTACATTTTTTTTGTTTTCCAGTTAATTAGTCATGTATACTGTTACTTAAATATATAAGCACATTATTTACAACTTTATCTTTGGCTCTAGGACTTCTATAAAAGTTTTTAAATACTTCTACAAAAGTTTTTAAATACTTCTACAAAAGTTGTCAGATCTGCAAAAATTTATTATCTTCTGAGAAATAGTAAATTCTCACCTTTCGATCAATTACTTCCAAAGTCACCTAATTAACTATTTCTTAAGACACAAACTAGAGTGTACAGGTGGGGCATCGAATAGAGTCTGAAATATGTCCACTCTAAGTCAATGTTGTCTCAGATAATGTGGCAAAGACTGTGGATGATCTGAGAGTTTCAGTCTGCTCTGTGCTGGTAATACAACAGCTGACAATTGTTTCCTAAAGCTCCCAAGGTTGCACCGAATCTGCAGGTAGTCCCAGGGTCGTGTGTGCTACATGTTCCTTAGAAGTCCAGCCCTGTCTCAGCTGTTGTAGTACCACGCAGGTCCTTTAAGGATATTATGTACTTGGGAATAAAAATAAACTTTTTTTATAAGCAACTGTAATTATACTTACAGAAAACTATAAGGTTCTCATAAGGAATAACATAGTCCCCTTCATGTGATCCAATATAGTTTTAGCTGAGCTTCTCTGAAGTACAGTTGTGTGGGAGTATTAAGATACATATGTGTGTACTTATGGGGGGGAGGGATGACTGTTATATGCAAAGACAGAAAACTGCAGATACTTTACTTATCTTTTTATTCCTTTCCAGGAACACTGTATTTGATGGCTCATCACTTCTGGATGACCCAGGGGTAAAAACACCAGACAGTTTAAAAGACCTGTGGTATATTCTCCAGGCACCAAAAGGATTTATTACATGCAAATTTCAATTAGCGCGAATGGGAGTTATTATAGGTGATTCATACTTTAAAGATAATTAACTAAATGTTGGTTTCTGTTTTGTCCACTTTGAATGACTCTCTTTTTTATTTTGCAAAATTCATAGGAAAAGATGAAGAATAAACATTAACAATTCAAATATTTCATAATATAACTGTTAGTGAAATGGTGCACTCTTTATGGTTGATCAGTTTCAAATTCCTGTTTTTGAATTCTCAGCAATGTGCCCCCAGTGCTCTTTTCTCACTTCTCTCCATGTGCTAATTAGCCAGGGAAGACCAGTTTTAACATGAGATTGATATGCTGCTGTATTAGTAATATAATACATGACAAAGCCATATAATAGGAGGTATTTTGTTGTTGTTACCTTAATTTCAAGTGTAATTAGAAAGAGATTATTGTCTAGCAGTCATTATTATTTATTTAAAAAATTTAACATACTAGAGTACATTAGTATAAAAGCTTTCATCTTTTCTCTTTTTTTTTGAATAATTACATGATATATCTTTTCCAAACAAGGCAGATAAAGAAAAAAAGTGGATCAAATAATATACCTGATGAATAAAAACATGGTAGATTTAAATTTAACTTAATTTTAAATGTCAAGGGTCTGAATACACAAACTCAAAGACAGATTGTCTTCTTTGAGAAGCGTATTGTTTGGGAGAAAAATAATATAAGTTGACATATGAATGCAGCTTTCCCTATTCCCTTCCCAATGCATCACCTCCCGTCCTATGGAGTTTCTGCTTTGAGTCATATGACCTCTAAGATTCATCTTAATGCTAATAGCCTGTGGTTTTATGATTCTGTAGCCCTGGAAAATGAGGTTGAAATATGATAAAATCTATTATATGTATATTTACATTCAGGACAGTTTAAATACATATCCTTTAGACTATGCTTACTGATTTTGAAGACTTATTCTCATTTAATTTTGCTTTAATTTTTTCTCTCTCATAGTACTGTTACATTCTTCTATTATTTTATTATGTTGGCTCTCAGAATGGAACTCATTACCATTTCACTGAGTTAAAAACAAAATTCAACCTAGTAAATTTAAAGCTCTAATTGGCCTTATTAAGTGATTCATGAATGAGGCAGCATCTCATCTTGCTACTAGAAGGATGCTCAGAGGGCGATGTACAAAATGGAAGGTTCATATAAAAAGAAGAGTGGGGAAAGGGAGCTATTAACCAAAGAAAATAAAGGATTATTTTAGACCAGAACAGCTTGTGGAGGTTGGGGGTCACTGTGGAGATTTTTGTCATGCACATTTACTCTTCTTGTTTTTTAAAGACAGTATTTATTTATTTTATTTTTTTTAGATTTTATTCATTTATTTTTAGAGGGGAAGGAAAGGAGAGAGGGAGAGAAATATTAATGTATGGTTGCCTCTCATGTGTCCCCTACTGGGGACTTGACCTGCAACCCAGGCATGTGCCCTGACTGGGAATTGAATCGAGATCCCTAAATTTGCAGGCCTGCACTCAGTCCACTGAGCTACACCAGCCAGGGCAGATTTCCTCCTTTTTATATGTAAATGGAAGGGTACAAGTGACAGTTTACCCCATAGGTGTTGACCAGAAAAATCCTGATTGGTTGATTAAGATTGTATTTCTGGAAAGGGATGCAACAGCAATTAGATTACATATTAAGTCTAGGTTTGGTATCATGGGCTTTAGCACAAATGACACCATTTTAGGGGCCTGTGGTTTTCTCTTTAACAATTGTTTCAACGAGTATTTCAGTTGCGGTAATAAACAAATCTCTAGGAGTTTGCTCATATAATGGCAAAATGCCAAGTCAATAGCTTCGTTGTGGAGGTTACATGTGGCCTTTGTCTATGTGCAAATGAGCAGGGAAGCTTTTCAGGAAACCAGTCGCTCTCACAGACTGCAACTTTCATCATTTTATAACAAAATCTTAAGTAATGGTTCAAATGCATGCTGATCTTGATGACATATACAAAGATGAGTAAAATCCATTTTAGCACTACATGTGTAGTTCACAGTTTCAGATCAGTGGCTGGTGTAAAAGTAGACATTATTTTTGTGAATTTTCTGCTCTGACTTCAGTGTTTGTGAATTAACTGTGTCAAAGGATTTTCATAAAATGTCAAAGCAAGAACTTTATAGGTAAATAAAAATAAACAATACATGTTCCACCAAAAAAGGGAGTATTGGGTTTTAAGTGTGAAGATAAAATTCCAGTAAAGACTAAAATACATTCTTGATTTTAGCTTGAATATGCAAGATGCTCTTACAAGTTTCATCAATATTTATATTTGTATCTTAATGATAACTGAGACAAAATTCTTATTAGGAATAGTTTATGCAGTTCAACAAATATTTCTGAGCACTTAGTATTTTTCAGACACTGTGCTGGACATATAAAGACAAATGCCATTAAAGTTCATGGTTAAGAATTAAATAGAATATACACATAATCACACACATAAACACTACGATTGTCTACATGTGCATGAAAGTATGTATGTGTATATGTATAAAATAAAGCACAGAAATTATGAGTATACTGATGTGGAAACCTTAGAAAAGGTTTTGGGGGATTGAGTCAAATGTGATAACATAGATAGAACTTTGATATTTTATAGGACGCACTTGACACCTCCACCCTTCTTGATAAACTCTCTTTTCTTATTTTTAAGTGCAGCACATCTCACTAGCTACTCCTTTTAGACTTCTTTCCCATCTATATTCTTCTGTACACAGTCTATATATTGAGAAGCTCTGGGGGGGGATCCTAGAGCCTCTTTCTTCACCTCTCACCCTTGGTCTTCATGGCCATCCACATTTTAGTGACTCCTGAGTTTTTATATTCACACTAGTCCCCTCTTGTTATAACCAGATGGGTAAATTCTACTCTACTCGACATCTTTAAATGGTGATTATATTAGAT